TAATCAAACGCTGAGCTGCTCACAAACACACACACGACAACATACACACGTGGAGCTGAAGGTCGTTGTTCGAGTGGAGCCTCCAGGTAAAGTCCAGTCCCAAAGAGTGAAGGACAGTGAAGGTAATACAGCGGGGACTGAGGGGCTAATGGGGAGAAGAGGCAGGGAGAAAAAGAGTTGTTCGGATGGAGAGAAGGTCGGGACATGGGAGGAAGATGCTCCAGGGAATGGAGAGATGGAGGGATGAAATGACAGAGATAAAGAGAGGCACATGAGAGCAGAGCGCTCTGCTGGATGGAGCAGGCTGGAGTTAAACTTTAAAGGAACATTTGGGGAGTTTGTGCAGTATAGCTTCTGTGAAGTTTTGTGACATTATAAGTAAAATTAAAGAATAAAGTGATAAAGAGTGAGACGGAGAGCTTTGGGGTAGACAAGAAGAAGAAAAGAGGAAATCAGAATGGAAAGAGAGGAGCAGAAGGATAACAGCTTACAGACTGTAGCCATCATTCTGATGTGCTGTGGTGCCGTCAAGCTGCTGCACCTACTGGGAGTCATCAGTGTGGAGGGTGAGTCTTTACATCCTGCTCAGACTCCAGAGTTTGTTGACCGTCCCTCTCCGACTGTCCAGTTGATACGAGAAAAATGAGACTGGGAACATCACCACTAGGAGCTGATCTGTTCAGATGTCCAACTGTGTTGCAACAAAAGTAGAGCTGTACATATACTTTCTTCATGTTTTTTAAAAACATCTAGCTTTTCTGGAAACTTTTACTGCATGAAGACTTGATTATACTCCACACAAACATTTGTAAAGGACTGTGCACTTTGTTAAAAAACAAAACAAAAAAAAAACCTCTTGCTATATTTTTTCTTCTTAAAACATTTGGAGGCCAACGAGAATGCACAAGTTATAATTAAGGTGAATTGTCTGTGACGCAATTAACAAGAAAGGTGAATTTGTACGTGTTTATTAGATTTCCTAATATTCATTTGATAATAATGAACCCTGTGCATAATTGAATTTTTTAAATTTAATAAATGAAAATACTCAACATTTAATTCACACACAGATTTTAAATCTTTAAGGGAAGTTATGTTCTCGATTTATAGCTTCTGACTATGTGACAGATTAAAACCTGTGTGTGTGTGTGTGTGTGTGGGGGGGGGGGGTGCAATCATATTCTTATGCTAATCTGCTAATTAACTTTTTGTGTGTTTTAAGCGGTAGTATAATAAAACATAATAAAAAATACTTTGTAAAAACAAATTAAAGCACATATACACAATAACAGTGCAAGTTAATATAAAATTACTTTACTCAATTCAATCTAAATATTATTGTAATTGTTGTGGAAAGTATTAATATTTTAATTAAATAATGTACATGCATGTCCTCTGGTAGTCATGCGGGTGTGCTGCAGCACCTTCCACACCCCAACTTCTCACGGTCTTGCCCTTCAACCTCAGATAGTTACTTGTTTAATGTTATCTCTTTCTAATCAGCTTCATAATGAAGACAGTTCCGATTAGGTCCTTTACAAAACACAACCCTGATTTTATATCTCTTCAAAAAACTTGCAGCTTTTTGAGAGGAGGAGGTGTTGACGACAAACACACGTCTGATAAATAACTTAGTATTCTTATTTTACATCATACACAAGTTAAGCCCTTTAATAAAAGGAATGGGAACTTTAAATCAGCTCTTCGGTGTGTGTGATCGAACTGGCAGTAACGATCAAACCCGGTGTAAGACTTTTTGAAACGGTCTGCATGGGCTGAGAACATGTCGGACTGATGAGAGAGGTTTATTTCAGCGTGGTGAGGGGATAACGCTACAACCAAGCTGCGGTTCACGGAGGGGACAGAAGTGGAGACACGTGGTGTAATGACAGTTTACAAATGTCGCCACACAGATAAAAATGTCTCTTGTGAAACTGCCAATGTTTCAAAATGGTGATGGTAAAGGACCACGTGAACCTGTGTGAGCTTTTATTAGAGTAGCAGGCTTCAAAAGCTCTCTTTGTTAAACTGATGTTTTTTTTCCTGTTTGAACCATTCAGTTCCTGCTAAACAACTCAATGAACTTAAATGAAACTTCCAGGAAGTAATCATTAGATGTACTTCTACATATTATTAACTCTTTGTAGTCAGCCTGATTCAAGATGACTGTTGTAACTAATGGAACTTAGTACCGGTAGTTGTGCCCGATACCAACCTCAAATACTTGTACTCATAAAAACAAATGCTTTGCACTTTGCTACTACTTTTATGGTTGGTGATGTCATTTCATCGTCCACTTTGCAAGTTAGCGAGAGCAAAAAGTACAAAGTAGAAGAAATGCCAATAGTTTGAAGTTATTTTAAAATGAACGCAGGCCACGTGACACCAGATGGTTTGCTGTGTTCTTTATAAAAGAAATGTGTTTTTAAAGTCATTGAGTAGTGTTTAAATTTTAAATAACTAATTACTCAGTACTCGTACTCAGTACTAAGTACCTAAACTTAAATACTTGTAGTCGGTCTGAAAATCAACAAACACAATTATTAGAATTTAAAGAACAAAAATACGTTTAACTCAGGCAGCTTTACACATATTGAGGTAAAATGTGATGCAGTGTTGGTTGAGTTATTCTAAATGTACAGTATTCTCCAAATGCATATTTTTATATATATTGCAATATTGCATTAGACTGTACTAATATTATTTTCAAGGTTTGACCAAAATAACTATACCTCTGTCTTTTTTCAACATAAGATAATCTTAGTCTGGCATGAAAGGTGGCGGGTGATATGCATTTCAAATGATCTCAGTGTGATCGTCAGATACTGATCAATTGTGTAGGAAGTTGCCATGAACCAGTTCTGGGGGGACACGTACACATTTGTCTGTGAAGCCTCTAATTTGATGAAATAATTGTATAATATGCATGTTAGGCTGATTGGTAACTCTAAATTGTCCCTAGGTGTGAGTGAGAGTGTGAATGGTTGTTTGTCTCTCTGTGTCCCTGTGACGGACTGGAGACCTGTCCAGGGTGTCCCCCACCTCTTGTACAGTAATGGCTGGCTATGGGCACCAGGACCTCCGCAATCCAAAAAGGAAGAAGAAGCAAGTAAAGATGGATGGATTTTTTTTCAAGAATGTGATATTTCTTTTGCTCCTGCTCCATCACACACCTTCATTAAACCCATTCTTTTATTATTAAAACACCACCAAGACATTTTTTTTTGCTCCAAGTCTTCCACATTACAACCATTTTATCATGCTCAGAAGTTTTATTAGTACTTCAAATAAATTATGCACAGTTATAACACTATGCATAATTATTACTCTGGACTGCTTCAGGGATCATGTGAGCTGTGGTGATGGGTGGGTGTGGGAGACCAGAGGAAAATGTTTGACTGTATACAGTCATGTTCACATATAGGTGTGTGTGTCGAGTCGATGGCGTGTCCTTTCTCCCCTCCCCTGCAGCGGCAAGAGTAATGAGATGTTAATGATGGGGACGCAGAGAGGACGAACACAAAGACGTTGATCTGACCTCTACCTTTCTGCACCTCCATCTTTCATCCTCCCATCCTCTCATTTCCTGTCTAACTAGAAGAATAAAATATGGAGAAAATGTATCTGCAAATGTTGAGCTTTTTAATTACTCACCATAATGCAAGATGTTTTTTTTTTCATTTTGAACACAAGACAGAAGTCAAAGAGGGCATAGCTAATCCATTTATTCTTAACTGGACTGAGCTTTAGACTTTGATTGGTTCAGTCTGGGATGTTTCAGTGGTTTTCCTTGAGTGTCAGGGGTCATAAATTTGGTCTCAGTGTCAGATCTTCCATCCATTATCTTTTACCCGCTTCTTCCATTTTGGGTCACGGGGGTCGCCGGTGCCCATGTCCAGCAATCACTGTGCGAGGAGCGGGGTACACCCTGGACGGGTCGCAAGTCCATCACAGGGACACATAGAGACAAACGAGACAAACAACCATTCACTTTATCACGCACACCTAGGGACAATTTAAAATTGCCAATCAGTCTAGCATGCATGTTTTTGGTCTGTGGGAGGAAACTGGAGTACCCAGAGAAAACCCACGCATGCACGGAGAAAACATGCAA